AAAAAAAAAAAATAACGGAAAACTGGCCAAGGTCCAAGATACTAACTTCCTGGCAAAGACCCTGGCCTCGGGGTCCGAGTCCGACATGCCTCGCTTGATCCCATCCTGTATGGCGTTCACGTGTTTCTGAAGCAACTGAGTCTGCCAGGACTGTAGCACGAGGTGCAGGTACTCGCATGTCGCGCGCCTTATGTCCTTGCTCTTGTTGTTCAACGAGGCCAGTATGATGGGCACGTAGCGACTGCTGTGCGTGTTCTGCAGGATGAAGCGCACCGCGACCGCGCCCGCCGTCGCCACAACCTGGGACGACCAAAGAGAAGCCATTGAAAAAAACCAAATAAAAGAAAAAAAAAAAAAATTCATCCTCCCTCGATACCCACCTTGGCGCTGTTCTGTATGAGGTTCATCAGCACGGGCATGACGGTCTCGCCGAAGCTGGCAAACTTGTTTTTGAGATGTTGGCTTAGGTAGGCGAGGGTGATGCAGGCCTCGCGAACCACCTGGGAGCGCAGATCCGTGCAGGAGGTCTCGAAGGGCCTCTGTAGTTCCTTTAGACAGGCGGGGAAGACCTCGTAGTTCGTGCCTCCGGCGATGACGATGCCACGCAACTTTTTCATCTGTGGAGAGATCGAGGTGATGATGGTTGGATGTGGGAAAAAACAAATAATCAGTGAGCCAAGTGGTCGTATAATATATATATACGCACGCTGTCCGTCCTTTGCTTCCAATCTTTCTTGTCGTCGCCGATCATCTCCTTGATCTGCCGCATCTGTTCCTCGAGGTCCTTGCTGGAGAACAGCTTCACGGGGGGCACGTCCTCGAAAGCCGTCAGGAAGGTCTCCTCGTCCACTGCGCCGGCTTGGCCTTACGGGCGAGAAAACAGCGCGATTAGGGCATCGGTTACAATGTTTGTACGGGTCTATCAGTGGTGTTTCACGTTAGAAGGTATAAAATGCGATTACCGCTGACAACAATAGCTGGCCTCCTCACGCCATGGTGATATTGTACGCGATTGGTGTGTTAATACTCGATGACATTTCGTAAAGTTATCTTGCAAGCGTGTGTGCATTTTAGGATTTAGTTACAATTTGCACCGACGATGGATGTGTATATATAAGCGAGATGGAAGGAACGAAACAAAAAAAAAAAAAAGCTTGTCACCATGAAATAAGGAAAAACTCGACGCATCGATGCAGCACGTATAAAGCGTGTAAATCAATGAAAAACAACAATGAACGAGTTTTTTTTTTTCAACAGTTTAAAGCGTAAGAGTACTATGTTTTACACACAATATGTGTACATGCCTACGTAATATTGTATTAAAATTAGGTATACCTGATGCTGTAGTGGACTTAAATGACGGGTTTCGTTTCACGGAGGGCGCCCTCGCTATTAGTGCTGCTCCAGGAGTACCTAATTGAGTGGCCATGCAAGTGCGTTAACGGTTAGCAAGCTCATACGTACATACGGACATACGTCAACAGTGACATTATTGTATATTGTGGTTAAGTGTGTACGCGTGTGTGTGTGTGAGTGGGACACGTTAATCCCTTTTTTCTCCTTTCACACTTCAGATCTCGCCAAAGTGTTTTCACACGGTGGGACACTCTGTCTGTTTCTCCGAAGTTGGAAATTTTTTTCTCAACCTTGTACGAGGTTTTTTACTTTGTGAAAAGCAACTCGAGTAGGAAAAATTTATTGGTACTTTGAATCTTTGTTGTTTGTGACGCTTTTCAATAGGGAATCACGTTAATATTTGAGATTTCAAAATTAAATAAATAAATAAATAAAACATCTACTCTGTTTCGTCGATATCTTACTCGAAGATAAGGTGATAAAAGTGCTCTATTTCTTGTCTACCCCAGGAGATAATCGACATCCTTCAAGTATTAAGAATAATAATAGACGTATATAAAAAAATGCCTCTTTTTTATATTAATAATTTTTTTCTTTACAGTATATTTTTTACTCTTCGAACAATGAAAATCACTTTCATGTAGAAATTATGCTTTTTACTCGGACGATTAATAAATAAATTAAACACGTGAGTCTTTTTTCCTATGCCAAAGCGTCATCTGTTTCCGTCGTTTCATTTACTTGTTTCGATGCAGGAGACAAACGCAGCAGCAGCAGCAAGTCTTCGTTGTCGTCGACGTTGGGTGATTTTTTTGCATGCCCTGTGCTTGCGCTACGTGTTTATTTTGGTGCACATATGAACGTATAGTGTAAGTATGACTGACTTTATGGGAAAGACGACGCTTTGGCATACAAGACACGACTGATTTTAAACGAGACTTATACTGTATTGTACAAAAATATTGTAATTTTTTGAAAGTGGCGCTGTAAACAAAGGTTATAAAAAAAATAAATAAATAATTGTCCACAGTGATTTCACACAAGACTAAACAAAAATCACTAACGATAAATTTTATTTTTATTTTAGCTCTAAAAAACTGAAGATATTTTAGAATTAATATCTGACCTCAAATATCGTCAGTTAAACAAAAATACAAAAAGTCTGCATATTAAAATTATCAGTATATTTATACTTATACGAAAGTATCAATTTTTGAATTCAAAAAAATATTTTTTCAAGTTTTATTGTCTAGATTTAAGGAGTAAATAGTTATCATGGTTTTAGGGCTGCAGAAGCGATTTGAGTTACGTGAGCTGAGAAAAAATTCACTTGGTGAATGACAATACCCTTACATTCACGAACATACAAGCGTTCCAGTAATGACAGATCGACACCTCGATTGTCATTATCAAGGGTTAGAAAAACAATGGCGTGTTATGCAATCAAAAGCAAAATAAGGTTCTTTTTCCCATAATTCGTTCGATTGTCTTGTAGGGTAAGTGTACGTGTGTAACTCTTGCACTTGTACAAAATATGTCTACATGCGTTTGACGAATGTAACAATAATATTTTTTGTGCACAACATCGATATTAATTACTTTAAAATTGTGTATACTTTGAAGGAATGTTATCAATAATTAAGTATATATTTATGTGTTCTTTAAAATTAAAAATAGTAAAAAAAAAAAAAAAATACGATACATTTGTTAATTTGGGACTGAATTTTGGGAAACAGTAATAATTTGCGTGATACAAATTTTACAAAATAATTCGCAACTCCGATGTAAACATATTCAGATACTTGAAACAATCGGCTACAAATCCAACTTATTAACATGTAGTTATTATCAGGAAATTTGTTTACATAAGAAAAATTGTAGCAGTATGTTTTTTTATGACGTATTCATTAAATTTTTATCTGATTTAGCATTGGTATAAAAAAAGTAACCACTAATTAAAAAAAACTGTAATAACTTTGGTTTGTATGAATTACTTATTATTCGAGAATCCCTCCACTATTCAGTGACTAACACAATCCTTAATGCAAGTTACAAATAAAAAAAAATAATAATAATAATTAATTTTTACACTATTAAATTTACAACAGAAATAACATCGCGTAGCAGCTCAATGTAAAAATAAACAAGCAGTAAAAACTAATTTATGTTTACCAATGTTGTCTAATAAAACTATTGCTTTCGTTGTGTTCCGGGGGTGTTGTTCAAGACATTAAAAAAATGTTCTACTTCGATCTACATAAATATATATATATAAAACAAAAAAAACATTAATTAATGCAGCAGTCAACGTAGCGTGATCCTACGCGTATGTGTATCCGGTGAGCGATAACAAAACACTGAATAGTTTCGCAACTGCTCGACAATAAATAAATAAATGAATAAATTCAACAAATGAACGAACAAACACTTCCAGCAACTCAAAAGCAACGATTAACACAGCGCAAGCTTGAGAATTAACAATGCCAAAAAAAAATCGACACATAATGATTGCAAGTCATACTCGAAGCATCGTTTGATTGAAATGAAAAAAAAAAAAGATGGTGAGCTTTGGAAGCACTTGATGTACACAATATGTATATGCGATGTGAAAAATCACGGCAGTGAGTATATAATGAAGGGGTGGTAGGATGCGGAGAAACATACCTTGGGGCACGAGCGGTGTCTTGGCAGGGCCAAATTGGCTCTTCTTTTGCAGTAGGCTGGGCGTTCGCTTGACCGGTGCCGATCGTATCTGCAACGCAACATGTGCAATTGTTTGTTTTTTTTTTTCCTCGCTCTTTACGCGTCGGGAACTCATTTATTATTTTTCTTCGCATAATAAAATTGACTTATTTCAGAATAAAATGGCAATGATGACAAAAATAACACAAAATGATTTTAACCGATCAATGGGTATTTTTGTTTTTGTTTTTCCACTTACCGCTCTGTCCGGTTCGTCAAACTCCTTTCCCACTGAAACAAAAATAAGGGATCCCTGTTTATTGTCATTATTAATGCATTTATATTTTATTTTTTCACGTGTACATATTATTATTATTTTATTATTGTTGTTGTGTCAATTTTAAATGAATTGCTGAAAAAAAAATGTTTTCGCTTAACGCTGAAATATGTTTTACTTTTTATATCAAATCGATAACTGGTTTTTATTTTTCTTTTTTTTTATATTAGAAAATAATCGTATTTGTCTAATGTTAGGGGGTTGGAAACGTCTTAGTTATACAAAAATGAATGAAAAAAAGCCAAGTCCCAGGATCTTTTGAACCAAATTTTTCAATTAGGAAATTCAGTGAAGGATTTCCTAAAAAATCAGACGTAAATATGATCCTACTAATCGTTTTCTGGTTAAATTAAATGATCAGCACATCACACGGGAAAATGTACCTAAATGAGGATAGAGCCAAGGTGGCTTGTGAACATCGCAGTGGCAGCCGCGCGCACGAGCTCCGGGATGCTTGACTATGTTGTCCCACTGGAGGATCCACTTGCTGCTCGCGTCCCACAGCGACTTGTCGATGCTCGGGTACTTGACGAGGCCACGGTGCGCGCACCGATGCCCGTTCACCACCACCAGCTCCGAATCGTTCATTTCTTCCGTTTTTTGTATTACCCGCGTCGCACACTCGTTTCGCGCGACTCTTCAATTTTTGCTACCCACATTTTTTTGCCCCCACTGCGCGGGCACGTATTTTTCTTGCGGATAATACTTGGAACAAGTTGCGATCTCATTCTTCATCACTCGATTGGCGTTTCTCACTTTTACACGCTTTTACTCGCTCTGACACTTTTTTATCACAATTTTTATGTGTTTGCTTATCACGTGGGAATTTAATGATTTCCCAAATACATAACGAAAAAAAAAATCTTGTGAGATTTAAGTAATTTGTTAAGAGTCGTTTTGTTTGTTTGTTTATACTACACTTGTGCGTATACGCCTCAAGTACGCACGACTATATACCTATCACAGAAAAAAACGTGGGTATGTATTATTTAATTCTCTTATCTGCATAATTCAGATTTTTTTTTTTTCCAATTCTCGATTGCTCGTTTTCATCCTGAAGAGAGAAAAATTATTTACTTTTTTGAACAAACACTAGGGTGCGGGAGGAATAAAGGAAATATTTTCCGTGTGCCAAATTTTATTTCACATTATGTGCACGAAAATTTTAACTTTGACTGTTGAGTGCCGAAAAACGTGCATAAATTATTTTTTCGATACAGCGTTAACAAAAATTTTCAATTTCAAAAACTATTCGTATATCTACGAAATGGTAATCTTTAAATAACTGATTGAATTAAAATGCGTACATGTTGGTTGTAGAAATAAGCAAAATAATGTTACAACGATAAAGAAAACATCGGTCTCGCAAATATATGTCTACCGATGCTCCGCGCGTGTGTACATAAGGCTCAGGTACCACGCGCAGTACAATCAGTAATGCCACGCTTGTCTCTTACTCCTTCATAAACGGGGAAGCACACGATAATATGCGTTTAATCGAGTATACCCTTTGCGATCCCACGAAAACCGTTTTGCGGTCCCACGAAACTCTCATTCTCCCACGCCTGCGTTCGATGAATAATTCAAATGAGAACCGACACGTATTTCGGTCAGTTGTACAAAAAAATTGGTTGCGAGTTTTTTATGTACTCATCCGCTTATTTGGGCCTCGGTGTGTCAGATAAATAAATAAAAAGAAAAAAAGGCTCCATGTGTCTTAAGACTAATTTATGAAAAATCGTCCAACAAGTCCAAGAGGCGTGTGCGTCCCGTCAGTTTCGGAAAGGGAGTCGGTGGTGCAAAAAGATAAGCCGATCAACCTCACGATAATTCACGTCACATGGATTATCAATAATTATTAAAGAAAATTAAAACAATAATAATATTTTTATATGTACACGTAAAAAAGCCCCAGTTAAGTACTTAATTTTTTTAAATTTGACATAAGGTGAAAGACGCCATTGTTTGCTATTTTTGTATTTGAGGCCATTTCAGAGGGAAATAACGGCCCATACCACACGCGCTACCCATTGTTACATATAAAAGCAGTGGAAAAAGTTAGTGGTGGTATCAAGTGCATTGCACGTTATTTTCATGTAAGAAGCTGTGTACATCCTTGCTACCGGTCTCCGGGTTTATTTTGCTTTTTCTAGATAACGCTTGCAATGTGTATATAACAAAGTGGTGACAAAACCGACGTGCATAATTGCAGGAGGATAAAAATAGTTTTCGCATGTTTTTTCACTCGCTTTTTTTCCATTCAGGTGTAAAGCTTTGAGAAAATATTCGGGGGGCTTGGCTTGTCGCTCGAAAAGAGTTATCTGCACAGGTGATGCAAACGGAGCGCCGACGATTCGGGACGATCGAAAAGAAAGAAAACCGGTTGGCGGCGTGAAAGAGGAGGGAAGAAGAAAAGAGGTTTCGAGCCCCTGTACGTAACACCAGCTTGTAAAAAGCTACGAGGGGCAATCGCCAATAGTAATACAGCCGATTGTTTTCCTTTGCTCGTATAAACGTATGTATACCGTACACTGTCGCTTTTTCACAACTCTTTTGAGACTTTTATTTTTACCGCCAAGTCTAGCGTCGTGATTCAAAAGCGTATAATAACATCGATGACTGCAGAGTGTCTGCTGTTACGCGCGAAGTGACGCTGAAACTTTTTAATAACATATTATGTGGCACTTGGTTTACCTCTGAAAAAAATAGCTGGGTCCTTTAAAAAATCATTGGGTCCTTTACTACAGGGCATAATCTTAAGAGGTGTATCATTAGACGTGTAGTGCTAAAATGTCACATTTTATAAGTTCAAAATAAATTAAAATCAAAATAAAATTTTTAAAAATCATAAAATTTTCTCCTTTTCAAAGACGCGATTTCTCTCGGTTCCACGCGATACGCGTACCCCAAGGTGTACCCTATACAAACAAACACAAGCAGCTCCTACTTTTTGCCCATTTTAATGCAACGTACATAAGTACCCGTACACCCGCACAGATAGACGCGACGATGGTACGGACAATCGAACGTATAAGATGTTATTTGCATTTCTTTCCCTTCTATCCGCGGTATTGTTTTCCAGGTATACTTATACAACGCAAACCCAAGTGCATACATTATTATTATTATTATTATTATTATTATTATTATTATTATTATTATTATTGTATAGAGGGACACACAAGAGAGGCACGTGCTCCTGCGATTTGCGCGCATGGGGGGAACAGCTTCTGGAAAACAGAGGGATGCGTGTATTCGTATAGCAGATATTGTAATGTATGTTGTTGAGTTGCGCAAAAGTCTCGTGACGAGGTGGAGGAGGAGGGGGAGACCACGCCGGCTTGTTGTTTGATTTCACATTGATAGCGTGAAAATTAACATTCGTACTGATCCGGATGATTGATTTATCAAACCCTGCGTCTGTATTACTTATAAATAATGTTAATCGAACGTGTACCATATCATTAACATTATTTCCGACGAGTCGAGTGTTTCGCTTTTTGATTTCGTATACTTAGGTAGTCACGGCGATCGAATCAGAAATTCAGGGAGCAAGACTCGCGCAGACAACTTCTTCCTCGCATTTCAATTGATCCACTCGATAATAAATTAAACTCTACGTACTCCTTCAAAAAAAAAAAACACAACAAGATTGAATGAAAAGCCACGGTATACCTATAACATCTATATCAATTTTTCATGGAAATCGATATATTTTCCTCACTAACGCGCGCTTCACTCAGAACGTGGTAACAACTAAAGTGTGAGTGTAGCGTTGGGAAGAAAAAAAAAAACCCCCCGAGCGTAATGTATATACGGACCAAATGCATTTGTATTCCTCGCGCGGTGCTGTAAAGACTGGCAATTTTATAATCGATAAAAACTGCCCGCCACACGGTGGAGGTAGGTAAGTACACTCTAGACTCCAATCGCTATACGTACACAAAAAAATAAGACGGGAGTACCAGTAACGGCATAAAATTTTAGATTTAAATTTTTTTCGAACATTTTTAGATAAAATATTGCACTATTTATATAAAGATACGAATGCTTGGAAGGCAAAGGGCTTGATTTTTTACTTATGTAAATAAATATAATTGTGACGATAGCAAAGTGAAATGTGCGTTTAATCGTTCGGTATTATAAGTATGAGTGCGACTGTAAAGAAACACATTTGAGGTCGTTTCATTCCTAAATCTATGCCTAACTCGAGGTCATGCATACCAGACGTACGTATACTTTTATTATTGTTTCGTACGATTCGAAAATGTAAGTAATCGGTATTTATTGTCATCCCTGCGTGACATTTATTGTGTCCCACCGACCGGTACTTTGACCCTTGTATTTGGACTTGGGCATGGATGCTTTATAAAAATTTTTTGTACTGTAATTTTTTGCTAGAAAGTAATGTGTCATATATCCGGGAAAAAGAATTTGTGTACAATTCAATGAAATAATTGTGCCCAAGTATGTTTGTATGCCACTTATCATGCCTATAAAATTGTATGGTGCATTCGCGAGATTTTCAAATTAGTTTAAACGATCGGCAGATGTACATAGATGTACATAATTGATGGGTAAAGCCGGAAAAAAAGAAAATGCATGTCCAGAAGGTTGACGGTAAAAAAAACATTTTCGCTTTCGGCGAGAATACTTATACCACATCGGCAAAATTACACGCTTTCCCGTATACAAACGAAAGTACGTCATCATAAATTATCGCCACGCGCACCGTTTTCAGAAACCAGGAGAATCACGACAAAAGTTCTTCTTTCAAACAGTGAGTTCTTGTTTTTGAAAAAAAAATAATAATAATAATAATAATTTACTCACGAAAAAGCCCAAGTCCCACGGTGTGGAAAATAAATGCCCTTTTTTTGACTTAAACATAAATTTCCCTCGTGTTTTCTCTTCCAAAACAGCAAGCAGCGCGACAAAAAAAAAAGAATCATGC